GGTGAGGGGAGGGATGACCTTATCAGAGGCAACACTGCACCCAGAAGGCCCCTCTCTCGGTGCTGTTATAACAGAGGGGCCTTAAGTGGATGGCTTACACCAGCAGGGATCTATTCTGCCTGTGTAGGAGGTTAGGGCCTGGATTAAGGCACCAGCTCCAGGGAATAACCCTGATGATTACACTTTGGGCTGCAGTTGAAAACCACCATCCAGCCACTGCTCAGGAGAAAGACCTGGCTCTCGACTGGTCAAGAGGTACAGTCTCATACACTCTCAGGGTCAGCTCCACCCTGTCTCCAACTCAAGGTTGCTGTGAGTCTACCCATGGCAGTGAGTTTGGTTTGAGCTCCAAGGAAGGACTTTATCTGCCAGTTCTGGGGGGAAGGCCTTGTTTACTTTCAACATCTGTGGATCCAGCATCTCCAGGGCTATCAATCTTCCCCAGGGTCTGGGAGGTTCTGACCATGGGAACCCTGGATCTGAAGGAGACGCTCCACCTGCTTCTTTCCTGGTGGCAGTAGGTCCCTGTGCTTGCTCTCACTCATTTGATCCCTTTCGCATCTCAAAAGAGAGAGACCGAAGATACAACCGAGTCCTGCAGATTGCATCCTGTCTCCCTAACCTCACTGCCTGGAATCCGGCCTCATTAGCGCCGTGGTGGCGAGGATTGACAGCATGGTGAATCATGACATCAGACCAGAAGGAGGAGGCTACTCACACCGCCTCACAAAATGCAGGACAAGGACACAACACTGAGACGCATGGCACAGCCCAGCTGAACCCATAACAAACCCCCCCCCCATTCCTAGAGAATGAAATCTGGGGGGAGGGGAGGCAGGGGCATGCCCAGTTCCTGCCCAGCTGACCCCACACACTGTGAAGTTCCCAGACTGGGCCTCCAGCTGATCCCCACCTCCCCGGAACCTCACCCTCCTGAAAGAGCCTGGGGAAAAACCCTTTTGCTTTTCTTAAGTTGCAGTGCAGATAAAGGCATTCTATTCTCTACCCAACTTCTCCTCTGAAACAGAAAGCAAGTGTTCACGCCCACACACAGGGGACTAACTTTCGCCTGGGTGGGCGGGACCCCACCCTCCACTGAGTCTGGGTGCCCTGCCTATCCCAGGCTGCCAGAGCCCACTGGGAGCCCCCAGAACATCCCACATGGGGCTGCATTTCTGAGGGCAAACCTCTGCCTCTTGCTCTTCCTGGACTTCAGAGGAAATTTCGTCCCTTTGGGGGATATTTCCCACGGACAGGTTTGGTGATGCCCTAGCTTCCCTCTCTCCTCCTCCGCTCACCCCTAGATGGGACTCTCATTTCCCCATTCTCCAGTTGTACTTCTTTCACTCCCAGGCCTCTGCACACACTCAGCCTTGCATGCACGCATCTACCCCACCCCTGAGATTCTCTGCCCCGATGGACACCTTGCTTAGAGGCCAGGAATAACTCCACCACACACACACTCTCATAATTTCTCATTTTACCCTCACAGCAGTCTTCCAAGGGGCTCTGATGGCATAGTGGGGTACAAGCTGGGTTGTTAACAGCAAGGTCGGCGGTTCGAAACCACCAGGTGCTCTATGGGAGAAAGATGAGGCTCTCTGCTCCCTTCAAGAGTTACAGTCTCAAAAATCCACAGGGGCAGTTCTACCCTTCCTATAGGGTTGCTATGAGTCAGCATCGACACAACGGCAGTGAGTTTGGGTTTGAGGACTAATTGTTCATTTGGCAGAGAAGGGAACTGGGACCAGTGTGTTAGTCCGGGTTGACAAGAGAACCCAACCCAGCTCAAGTCCAGGAGTCTGATATTGGCCATGTGTCTGATCCTAGTCCATAAATTCCTCTTGAGACTCACTCAGCGCATGCAGTGATGTCGAATTCAGGAAGACCACAGGTCAGTGGGTCGAAGGTCTTATGGATCCAGTGGCAGTGGAAGCATCTCAGCACTGGCGCCGGTCTCCACGTGTCTCCTCCAGCTCTCTGAGTGTCTCAGCAGCAGGAAAGGGAAGGCAGAGAGAGTGGGTCTGGAGCCATTTATTTCCCTGGTGCCTCCCAATGAGGTCATCAAGCTGTGACCTGACTGACAGGTTAAACTCCACCCCTTCACTCAAGTTGGCAGGAGATTATGTAACGGCCACACCCAGGCTCAGGAGTTGGAGCCGAAACCCTTCAGGCAGACTCCACTGGCCCACCCTCTACCACTGCCCTCACCCTCCTTGCTAGCAGAATCTGTTTTGTCCGGGGCTGTAATGTACCCAGGCCCAGGGGCAGTACTCGCTCTCCCAGCCTGCACTGCGGCTGGGCTTCCAAGGGCAATGAAGCATAAGCCACAGACCCAGCGGGCACGGCCCTTTGTCTGGTCCCCTTTCCTGCCTTGAATACCGATGTCTGGAGCTGGGGCAGCCATCATCTGTGCCCTCGGAGTGAACCAGCATGATGACGCAAAGAGGAAGAGCCTGGGTCCCCGAGAGCATCGGTCGACACCAGCTGCCTTGTTATGGGGACGAGAAACAAAAATGAACCCAGGCCTTCTGTAACTGCCGGCAGACAGCCTACACCGCCAAGGCTGCAGGACGCCTAGTCAGGTGCTCTTCCTAGCAGATCCGAGCCCGACAAGCCCTGGCCCTGGGCTGAGCCGCTGGTTTCTGACCTGCACCCTGACTGAGCCCCCAGGCAGAAGGGAGTAGCTGTCAAGGAAGCTGCTAAGAACTCGTTTTGAAACAGGAAGCATTGAGGGTGGGGTGCGGGAGGGAGCCTGCAACGGACAACGGCTCCCAGGCTTCTCTCTAGTACAGGGCCTGGGCTGGGCGTCAGGGATGCGATGCATGCGCCTTGCACTGCCACCGCCCGCACAGCCGCTTCATGGGCCCTCAGCCCGCACAGCCGCTTCATGGGCCCTCAGTCTCTGAGCCTGGCTGCCCGGGTTCCTGCTCCCACATCTCAGACCTGGGAACCACAGATTGCTTCTGCTTCCACACACGAGCATTCACCTGCCACCTTCCATGGAGGATGATTCTGCCTCCCGGGCTGGGCTCCGGCCTCCTCACTGCCCTCATTGCCTCCATTGTCTCCCTCTCTAGCCCCTCACAACCTGAGAGGCCACTCTCACTTTACAGAATATCCGTGCTTCTTGGGTGCTGTAAATAACCCCGTTGCCTTCACAAGCTTGCTAATCCAGCCATCTGGCCCTTTGGTCATTTCAGCATTCAACCGCTCTGGAGGGGGGCTGTGTGCCACACGCAGGGGTAGAAGGGTGAGCCCGGTGAGGGCCTCCCCACCGTCCAGCAGGGAGGGAGGCAAGCAAGCAGGGC